AATATGCATATGCAGATATTATACTTCAGCTGTATAGATGATACACGGATATCAAAATATTTACTGTAAATGTGAGAAGCATTCAGAAGATAAACATTTAACCTTTGGCAGTACTGTATGCTTTTGTGTAACAGTGGATGAAGTCATATCATGAGAATGGAGAGTTTAATGGATTTATAGGCTAAAACCAAACCCTCCTTGGTTAGGAAACTTTCAGCTGTATTAGGCTTCGATGACTTGTGAACTTTTGGCAAAAGAGTTGCATTAACAAGCTGCTAACCAAAGAAAGGCTTGGTCTGGAAAAAAAAAAAAAAAGGCATTGAGATGCTGCCTAGCTAGACACTGCCCACAGTCTGTTATAATGCTGGTCCTGTGCCTTTCAATATTTTCATTAATGTGGATGGTAGAATAAGCAGAACTTTTGTTAAATTTATGGATTCTGCAAAGCAGGGTTGGAAGAGACTGCAGGCATTTTAGAACTAGAAGTAGAAATCAGTGCATTCCTGAAAAATTGAAATCATAACTCTTTCCTTTTTTTTTTTTTTATTATTATTATTTTCAAAGGAAATTCAAGGAAGACAAGAACAAAGTCTCATTAGCTGCAAAACAGTCAGCGTCACAAACAAAACATGGCATATAGCATGCTGAGTAGCAATTCCGCAGAAAGGACCTGGAATCCTTTATGTGTGATACTGTTGTGAAAAATAGGCACTAATTTGAATATGTAAGTAGAAGTATAGAAGAAAAAAAAAGTCAATTTTTTAATGATTTTTTTTTTTTAAATCTGGCCCTCAATTCTTAGTCTTTGTAAAGCACTTCACAAGTAAGTGGAACATATAATTGGTTACACACCTGTACGTGTAATAGATTGTGTACATTTAGTTTTATGGCATAGTAGTGTGAAAGCATGGTTGCACCATGCTCATGTGTATTTTCACATTCTGCACAGATGAACTTCAGTCTTCCATTTTCTATTCAGGTCATTAGTCTCTACAGCTGTGTTGCTTTTTTACCCAGCAGCTGCTATTTCAAGTCAAGATTTTGCTTTTTCAGTTTTTCCACAATTTGAAAGTACATTTAACATGAAAGCTCTTTGCTCATGTTTCTGCTTTCTCTGCTGTCTTATCTGCTTTTGTCTTTCTTTGCTTATTAGATTAGTTTGACATAGTCTCAGACTCGTTTCACCTCAGCATTTCATTCATATTTTATGTCATAAGATTTAAGGAAATAAGCTGATGTGTTCCAGAAAAGCACAGGAAATGATAATCATTAGAAAAAAAAAGGGGAAAAAAAAAAAGAAGTAATTCTTTTTGCCATGTGGAGCTTTTTAGCATGACACAGGTTTGTTTGCATTTGTTAAAAATATTCTGAATCTGTGAGTGTAACTAAGCTAACATATTTCCCAGCTTATGGGAAAAATGAATGGAATATTTGACAGTAATATTTTCACTTCAAAGTGTGAGGGGTTTTTGTTCTGCTTTTTAGCATGAGAGAAAAAATCACAGCTTACACATTGTTTAACTAGAAAGTTCATACCAAACTGTCTAATGAAACCTGTGTAATTGCCTATACAGAAAATGCCTTCGAAAGCTGAACGCAAGAAAAATGCAGTTATAGTGTATTTAGCTCACCGTAAGTGCCTGCTGGAGCATTTCTAGTATCTGGGCAGGTTGGACTGAGAGAGGAAAAACATTGCAGCATTTTAGAAGGCACCATAAGCTTTTGCAGCCTCGTGCCTTACAGACTTCAGCTCTGTAGACACGTATGCGATTAAGACTGCAAGTAATATCATTGCTGCGATGTGTTGGCGTGGTAGTTGGTGACTTTATAAAGCAACAAAGGCGGCAGTCAGCAGCTGCACAACAAAGATATCCAACAAAGATCCGAGTGTCTGTAACCATTGCGCAGCATAAAGAAAAACTCCTTTGTAGGCTCTTTGATGTGGCAGTCCCATAGACGTGAGCTGGTTAGCCACTTGAAATGAGGTGTGGGGGCTATTCCAGACGTACTCATAATAGCCTAATAAATTATCCCTCTCATATATGCTGTCTTTTTCAAAAATATCCAAGTAGCAGATTTAGAGTTATTTTAATGACGTTACCATGCTTTATCTCTGCCCAGTTTGGTAAAATCTCTCTCCCCGAGTCCTGCATTTTGTTTTGTGGTGGTGAACGGTTCTGTGCTCGGGGCTGCAAAATATTTGTGCTTCACTCTTCATAAAATACTGTGACACTGGTATAAATATGTGTAAAGAGAAGATGGAGCATGCAAGTTTTTGCCTGTTATTGTGACGACATCAAAGATTACTTGCTTGGTAATGTGAAAATGACATTACAACACCATGTCAACTGTGTTCTCTCTGTTGTCTCTAATTGGATTTTAGAACGATTACAAATCAATAATCTCCATATTTCATGTACTGGAGGGTTACTCTTTGCACTTATATTTGCTTCCTGAGCATCTCTGTTTATGCAGATTAATTTACAAAACATCTGTGGTTTCTCGTAGGAGTTTTCCAGCTTTAGATATCTAAGAAAGCTAGTAAAATAAACAGACCCCAACATCTAATATGTTATAATTTTATTCAGATTTCCTGCATACTTCATTGCAGTACAAATAATCTTTTTTCTCCTAAACTTTATTTTGTTTATTTTTCCTGTTCCTTGATACTATTACCAAGCTGCCTTTTATCCTTAATAGAAAAGGATCAATCCTATGATGTATCCCTTTAAAACAGCAGTACAACATAACAGCAATAACAACCATAAATATACTTCATAAAGCACTTGATTTTTATTTGATAATGAGTATGCTCTGCTTTCTTGAAAAGAAGAATAAACATCCAATACTGGAAGTCAAAAGGATAACTGACAGCTGATGAGGCCTGAGAATAAGTGTTCAGTAGTGTCTCAGACAGTATCAAGATCATACAGTATACAAGATCATGAGTGATCTTTGTTATACTCACAGATACAAGCTAAAATGCTGTGAATACTGTTAAGGTGTTTCTTAAACATTAATTATTGTGATGATTTTTCATAGTTTCTATGTTGGTTTAATTTTAAAAAATATTTAATAAGCATGGTCTGGTTGTGCCATTATTTACTTTGATTCTTACAATTAAGAAACTTTTTGAATTGTAATAGATTTAGAATCAGAGTTAAACACAATATACAACGAATTGTATAGCTATACTCTTTCTCCATCTTTAAGTGAGGTCCCTCCAACAGCACTTTCTGTTAAATGACAGTAGAATTTTTGCAGTCTGAATTTCATACTTATTTTTGAACACACAAAGTGTTTAAATGTATCTCAGCTGGACTGTGTATGTATTTTTAAATTCTGTCACTGTTAGCATTTTACTTATGGTGTTTATGAAAAGGGCAAATGATTGCATCTCAGCTCTTTTTTTTTTTTTTTTTTTTTTTAACTTTTGCCTTGCTAGAGATTAAAATCATTCTATCTTCCCTGCGTAATAAAAATGTCCTTCCAATCTGAATGTCGTCTTCAAAGCACAGATAAGCAGCAATATAGTTTACTTTAGCACAGCTGCTTTTGTATAATGAAGTCTTACTGTATGGCGTATCTAATGATGCAGGATTTTAACCAACTGTGTCCTTCTAAGTAGAGATACTTTGGTATTTTTGAACTGTTTTTTGGGGGTGGAAAATACTGATTTAACCACATAAAAGTGTATAGAGCCATGCTCATTTCCATAAGACACTAATTAGATTTTTTTTTTCAGGTGTTGGATAGGTTTTTATGCTTAGAAGAGAGAATTACTCCAGGAAAAGTGTCAAAGAGCGGGTCAGTAGTGATGCCCCGTGTGGTGGGGGAGGAGGATGAGTTTCAGGTCCTCCTTCACCAGAGGGACCAAAGCTTCAGCTAGGAAAGGTCCCTGGTCACCAGACTGCTTGCTGGCTGCTATGGGATTTGTCTCTCCACTATACTGAGTGCATACAACGCCCCAAAACCACGCCTGGTGTTTGTTACTGAGTAGTAGGAGGTGACAGCGTTAGGTTGTCCTGTTTGCTTTTGATGCCAACAGGAGAAACCTTTGGCTTTCTCCTGGATAATGACTACCTGTGAACTTGCTTTAGTGAATTGCCTGGGATGCTGGCTGTCCTCTGAACTGTTACCATGTGTTTTTTGCAAGAGGTTTTGTTGGTAGCCAAAACATAGCCAAAGAGCATCCTCTCAGTGAATAAATAGTGTGAAGGAGCTGTGCTCTGACCCTGTTTTGCTTATGAGTACAGACTAATCCAGAGAACATCTATTGGCAGTACAGAGACCCAGCTGGGTAGGTGGAAGGAGATAATTGGTATCAGGCATATTCCAGGTAAATGCTTTATACGCTGCTTTGTAGGCAAATATGGGAAATCTGTGGTATTTGTGTTTGTAATTTATATAAGGATTGAAGTGTTACACCTGTAGCCTGGATGAGTAATTTCCATCTGTAACCTGGATAAGTAAGCTCTATTGCTTTTTTTTAACTTTTTTTTTTTTTTCTTATTTAATCTATTTTCTAGTTGGGTAACAGGCAGGAAAAAAAAAAAAAACAAAGCAGTTTTTTCTCTAGTGGCCCTATTTGATGATTTATGTGCACTTTACTCGAAAAACTATTGCTACTGCAATTAGTTGCATAGAGATCAGCTCTTGGAGAAACTGGCGAGTGCTAATCTCATCATCAGGAGATCTGTATGGAATTTTATTCTAGAATAATCATTCTTCCTGCTGTTTTTTAGGCAGGATCATCCCACAGTTGAGCAACAAAACCTAGAGCCAGGGCATACGGGTTCTGCTTTAGTCATGTTCTTTGGTTGCGAGCAACAACTGTTTCTCTGTGCATCAGTTTGGAAGTAATCTTTGCAGGGCAATGACTTTGGTGAATAGTTTTGTGACCCAGATCCAGCAGCAAAAAGAAATGTTGTTAATATCAATACTGTCACTCGGCATTCAAAACGTGAAGCGCCCTGCTCATAGCACTTTGTTTATTACAGCAATAGACAATGGCACAAGTTAAGATGCAGACTACAGCAAACCTGTCCGGACCTACCATGTCCCCTATGGTGCTACCCCTCCCAGTAACAACTACAAACACGCTGGGTCTGCCACCTGCCATGAATGGATCCATTTCGGAACCAGCTGCCAGTTGTAGCAGTCCTACTGCTGGCCCCGTGGATCCTGCTCCCGCTAGCAACTCACCAGGTATGTTGGTCCAGCTCTGTTTGCTTTGTTGTTCAAGTGAATCTTTTCGTCAGTGTTAATTAAAAAAAAAATAGTCTTAAAGAGTGTAAAAGTAAAGAAAATTCTGTAGAAAAATATTTTAGTTAACTTGACTGTTTACTACGTTAAGTTTCTTTAATAGAGCTGAGATTTACAGTAAAGTGTTGGTTAATGGTATAAAAACTCAGAAAAGAACATGTCTATTTTGTCAAATTCTGGGTGTATCTTTTACAGAGAAGTTTTAGTCGTGCAGGAAGGTCTCCAAGTGTACTTCTCTTCCCTAGAACAGAATGTCTTTAGACTGCTTGGCAGTATTTGGTGTTTCCTTTGTAGCCTAATAAATGCTGTAGTTCCTATGCTGCACAGGGTATTAAATACAGAAATGTTATCCTAAAAAGTTAAGCAAGCAGTGAAAGCATGTGTAGGGGATAAATACAAGAAATAGGAGGAAGCTAAAAAATGCTAGGGCAGTATACATGAAGTAAATAGTCTAAGAAAAGCAGAACAGAATCCTTAAAGGGAGTAGGGAGATGTACTTTGGGAGTGCTCAGAGAGTGACTTACACTGAGAATTGAGAACTGGGAAGGAGGGAGAAGCAAGTGAGGACCACAGTGTTTCATCTGCTGTATTTATCTTGCAACCTTTATGCTATCCAGTGTTGCTTCGAAGTGTTGAGAAATCATTCTGAAAGAGTAGTCAACTCATATAACAAGCATAATTCTGACAACATTTCAGTGATGTAGAAAATGTGACATATGTATATGTCCATCTCCACTGTCATCTTTTACAGAGTAATTTTGAAAAAATATATTTTTAATTGCATGTATTCAAAATCAACATTACATAATAAACATTCTATTACAATTAATATGGAAATGGTATTTAAACATTGTATATAGCTTATATGCAAACATTATTTTTTAGCCAAAGTATTCTTTCTTTAAGCATACTAGTGCTATTGCAAAGTTTTGCAACGTTGTGAAGAATACATTTATCCACAAAAACTTTACAGACTCTTTATTTACAGCTCCTCTCCAAGATAACATGGCAAACCCCAAAGAGAAAACTCCAATGTGTCTGGTAAATGAGTTAGCCCGTTTCAATAGAATTCAACCCCAGTATAAGCTTCTGAATGAACGAGGGCCTGCTCATGCCAAGGTAAGGTCACACTTCCAGGTTATGAGCCAAGCATTAAAGGCTGAACAAATAATGTCATGATCTTGACAAGTTCACTTGTCAAACACAACCATGTTTCTAGTGTAAAGGGTTTCTAACATTTTTTTTCATTTTGCTTTATTTTTCTTGCTTTCAGAAAGTATGTTTGTGATTCTGTTGGAGCCCTTTACATCACTTTGTACCTTACTTTGACTTACAGCTTTGAGTTTATATTTGTTGGTTTCTATAAAGACCTTCTGAGGGTCTTTCCAGAGTATCACCACCCTTTGTTAATCTCTATGGGGTTGTTGCTTTTTAAGCTGTGTGAATCCTTCTCTCCAGTTGGCTTGCCTGTGATAATTACCTCTGATTTTTTTTCATGGTAGTGCAGGTTACTATAAAGACAGTCCACTGATATTTTTCAATTGATATGATTCTGAGTCCATTGATGCTGTATCTATGGATCTCACATTGTAGGGCACAAACTCTTTTTATTGTTCTTTCCTTTAAATTTTGTGCAACCTTAAGGTTTGCAGTGATATTAAGCCTCCTAATATGATCATAGCATTAAAGTTTATAGTGAGCTGGCGGTTAATTCTTGTCAGTTATCATGTCAATTTGGATATCCAGATTCATTTAATAGGTAGCAAATTAGGATGCTTTCAGATGATAAGGAACATGGAGGGATATTCTCATGATCAGTAAAAAGTTTCAGCTAGCTGTGGGCTCTTCTCTCAGCCCTTGTTTCTGTTGCTCATTACGTTGCCAGCTAGCACAGAGCTGATGCAGGCTCCTGACGGTGTAATTTGGCTGATTTTGTGCATATTTCATGCTGGTGGAAATGATGTCAGCAGGTGCGGGGCTGTCGGGAATCAGCAAGCTCTTAGGATTGCCCATCAGTAATGGGAGCTGAAGTACTCGTCCTCCCCATGGAAGCGTTCAGGACCAGGTGATTCACTGGTTGGTTTTAGGTTGTGACATGTTAAATCTGATGTGCTCTCTGTTGCTTTTCACCCAGTTGCTGCATATTTATTTTGTTACTTTTTTCCATGACTGCGATTTAAGTGCTTCAGTCATGCCAAAAGGTGTGGTGGGCGCTGTTTGTATTTCTCAACAGTAAAGGGATATGAGTTGTGTTACATTTCTACTACAGTGTAGCAGGATAAGATGTAGTTCAGATATATTTGTTACTGTTTTTAAAGGAACTGGAATTACTGAAATTACTTGAGTCTGTGTTAGCTGTGCTTTTGAAAGCCAGATTTAACAAGGGTTTCTTAATTTTTCAGTTTTTCAATTTACCTCATTACTTTTAATTATGTTCATAGTGATCAAAAAATGACACATGCTGTGTGGATTGGTTGTTGCTCAGAAGAATGTGAAGTCTAATTTGGGCCTGTGCAGCGAGTGAGAACAACACAGGAGGGGAGAGGATGAAGAACAAGGGTGATATTAATAAGATTATGCAGACTAGTATACCTCTGGTCTATGGAAAGCAGAGACAAAAACCTACGACTGTGTTGGCAGTTTTGGATAATGTATTGCTAGCAACATGATGATTTATCTGATACAATATGTGAAACAGAGCTGAGTCTGCTCTAGAAAACATGACCTAAACGATGTTTTACTGCTGCTGTTCACCATTTAAGGAATTTCTCAGTTTGCTTTGTTCTTACACAAACTGTGTTCCTGTCCACTGGTGGTTTTCATGATTTTCAGAGGCATGCTTTACAGGACATCTGCTTGTGTCATGGCCAGAAATGCTAGTAAATTTACATGTCCTTTTTTCTAGTTATCTTTGGAAAGTAAGTTTTGACAAGGATGAAATGTGAAGCTAGAAACAGTGGAGCTGTGAAAGAAGTGGTACTTCTTGACAGTGTGGTTAGGATGCCTAGGAACCTGCTCTCCAACTAGATTCTTCATCATAAGAAAAATCAGGTCTTTTGTTAGCATTAACTACGTTTTCAAGTGTATTTGTCAGGCTGATCCTTTCTTGTATGCTTCTATGTCAGCAGCATCTCAGGAGACAAACTTAAAAGAAAGACTGGCAAAAGAAATTAGAGAGTGGCACAGAGAAAAGAGCAGGTTGCTGAGGGACATAGCACTTCAAAAGGCTGGGAAGCAGGAGAGAGGGTTTGGTGTGCAGATGAAGTGAGGAGGAAAAAAAATCCAGACCTCAGGAACTTGGTGGAATGAAAATAAGGGCAAGGCACGATAGCCTTAGCATTTCTGCTCTGTTGCCATCAGGTAATTAGGTTAGACTTAAGGAATAAAAACTTTCACAAAAACACATGAGAAATGCCTGTCCATTTGTAGCAGAACTGTCAGCTGGGGTCTGAGAAATTAAACATTCGTTGGCTACTCTACACTTTTTTATAGCCAATTGTATTCCTTTAATTAAATTGTAACCTACTTTTTTTTTTTTTTTTTTTTTTTTTCAGGAGGTATTTCTCAGATAGGATAAGTGAGAAGGCTAGAGCTCCAGCTCCAGAAATTTACTGAACAAGCCCGTTACCAAACATATTTTTATTAAAATTCAAGATTATTCTCCTCCTGTAAAAATAATACACTGATATTTTCTTTCAGTTCTGTTAGTAATAAGGATGTATGTTCATAGGTAATGCATATAAGATATGGATATTTAGCTCTCATACCCAGCTTAACTTTCAAGTCTGAGGGGTAGCATTTGACAGAATGCAATATTTAGAGACTAGCTTTTTGCTTCCCCCTTGTTTACAAGGAAATTGTCATGACTGCTGTGAAAAAATGAAATGGTGCTAGGAGCTGTGATCCACAGTCTTGCACTGTGTTTCTGAAATTTACAGTGGGCAAAAATTCAGGCCTGTAACTAAGATAAAAGCATGTATTTATAGAATTCAATTCAAATGTACTATGTGCATGTGATGGGAGGCACATACATATTTGTATTCAAATGCTTGTGTGCAGGTACTTACTGAATAAAAATACATGTGAAGGCAGATTTAAGGGCCTGTACATCCTGCCTATCTCTAGATGCCTGGTCCTGAATCTAGCAAATTTAAATCACTTTAAAAAGTATAGAGTAAATGGCTATCCAAATAAAACATTTGCTTTGTATACTACTGATGTGTACAAAGATATGTGCAATATCTTTGTGTTGCCTCAAGTAAGTTAGCCTGTTTTCTCAGGTGGGTATATCTTCATTTACCACGTATATTTGGCAATGAAATCCTGCTTTATATTATTCGGTATTCATATGGAAAAGACATAATTTCTTATTTTTTATCCTCTTTTTGTTAGATGCACAAATTTAAACAAAACATGTACATATCATACAGAAGATATACTCTATGTAGTATCTTAAATATGCTTTGAGATTTATCTTCACAGCCTGCATAGCACAGATACTGCTTGAAATACTCCTTTATCACAGATTTTGCGATGTATATGGTTTTATCAGCAGTTACTGAACTCTGAATTTTTTACAGTTCCTGTCTTCACTATAGAATCCACACTGAAGAACTGCAGTGTCATTCAAAACGATAACTTTTTTTTTCTTTCTTACCATATATTGTTGAATATATTTGAGTTGTGACTCTGTCCTAGCGATACAATTTCTTGTTTCAGAAATCAGGTTACACGGGAAATCTCTTACCTGTGTAGAAGTATTTGGGCCAAATTCTCTTCAAATTTCCTGAAGAGTGTGTAGTCATCTATATCCATTCAGAAATATTACAAAATTGTATTTTTAATAGCCATCTTTACCTGTTATTGACAAGCAAAAGTGACTGAATATGTTTAAACATGTAAAGAAATGTCACCTGAATTGACCTGTGTATAGTCATCCAAGAGCAAAGGGCTGGTTTGCATGGTTATTATTACTTGGTTTAAATAGTATTCTCTCTTTCACAGCTGATGCTAGCATTATGCTATTTTACTTTTCATCTATAAGGCCAAATGTTGCCCTCTGCTAAGGACCCACTGATCTCTTTAAGAATTAGATGTGTTATCTGAGAGTTGAATTATAATGAAAAGAGGGTACATTTTCTCTTCAAGCCCATAGATTTTCATACAGAGTGATCTGATCTGCTGTGATAGTCTTGCCAGTTTTACCTGTTGTTTGTCTTGAAGATGTTCACAGTGCAACTGACTCTTGGAGAACAGACGTGGGAAGCTGAAGGAAGCAGTATTAAAAAGGCCCAACATGCTGCTGCTAGCAAAGCATTGAATGAAACTACCCTTCCCAAGCCAACTCCTAGACCACCCAAAAATAATGTTAACAATAATCCAGGTATGACAATTTCCTCTGTGTAATAAAACATGTTGAAGTGTTGAAATACTATACCACTAATAAATAAGTTTAACAAGATACAGGTTTAATTGGCAGATGGGAATCAATGTGATTGTTTTACAGGTAAGGTAGTTAATAAAGAAACTCTACTGAGTTTGTGTAGGAGAGTTTTTAATGCACATACTTAAAACGATTGAACTTTAAGTGAATATTATTTACATAATATTCAGCTGTATACAAAGTGACTGTATGTGAGCAACCATAGACAGAGAAGACAAAAACAGATTGAACTGACCATTATTACCATAGTAAAGTTCTGTGTTTTTTTGGGGGAAGTTATTTTAGCTAATTTTCCAATGGAAGAGCCAAATTTTATCCAGTCCAATCCTGTGAAATTATATCTGTGGTGTAAATACATGTATAAGGTCAGGTTTTGGCATGGCAGCTTTGAGAGGTAATTTCCTGCATGACAGATTTTCTTTCTTAACAGTCTGTGCTTTCAGAAAGCCCTCAAACAGCTTTAGAAATTGTTTGAGCAATTAAAAGAACATATGTTGCTGTCTTGCATCCTTCATTTCAAGTTGTTACCTGTGAGTTGCCTTCTATGCATACAAGGCCTTTTGAGGTACACATCTCAGCTACATCCTCAGTGATTTGTTCTGTCTTGTTCGGCAAATTAATTGGAAAAAGAATTATTCCTAGCTTCATTTCACGCTAATATAAAAGAAAGTAACTGGTGAGGAAAAATGGATTCTTCCATTATTTTTTTTCTTTTTTATATTTTCCCTTTTCCCCTTTTCTCTTTTTATTTCCCTTTGGTTCCACTCCTCTTTAAAAAACATAAAACATTTCATGCACTTTTTAAAAATGGATTCATTTTGAATTTAATCTCTGTGCAGGAAGAAAGCAGGACTAACTTCCTTGAGAGCTTATGAGTATTATCCAGCACATTAGGCATTAAGGATTGTTTGCAAGTGAAGTGACAGTATCCTCTTGCTCTTTTGGAGATCAATGCATTGCTTCTCTGGGACACTGGTTTTACAGTCCTTTGCAGACACTGTGGCTTTTGCTGTTTAGGAAGCAGGAGGCTCAGATCTCTGTACAAAAGGATCCTGGATTTGTTTCTTGACATTGCAGAGTGTCACTCAGCTTCTAGCCTTTTGGGACTTTTGGCATATTTGTAAAGGGAAAAGGTGATAACAAAAGAAATAGGCTTTAAAAGAATTCATTAAAACTTGTATCACACAATACTGTAATTTTGCTTTAAGAAAAGTATGCTGTATATGCACAAGTATCTTCTAATAAAAATGACATTTTTGCATTTTTAATACATAGTTGAATTCACAGTTATTCCTTGCTCTGTAAAATACTGAAATTGTAGTGGACAAAAGTTGCTGAATCAATACTGCATACAAACCTCCATCATTAGGCATATAAAGCTGTAAGGTCAGACGGGCACTTCCATTGTAACTGTTTTAAGAGTAGATTCATTTGAAACTGCTAAGAAAATATTTTAAGTAAATACTAGCTCCTTTTTATTCAAATGTGCATTTAGCCCCTTTAAGGTTTTTGTACAACAGAGAAGTGGAGAATACTGTACCTAGATGTTTTATTTTTAAGAAAAAAAATATTTTAATGAAGCTGCAGCATAGCTTCATGATTGGAATTTTTGGAGGCGATGCAAGTGGGCAAGTGGTGCCTGCTTGCTATTTTTGTATTCTGTTACCAGTAGGTGGCTGTAGTAACACTAATGTCCAGTAGTTATATTTCCAGTTTGTTAGAACATTCCCGTTAGTTAGATCACTAACTTTCGGTCATAGTTCTGGGGTTTCAAGTCTTGCAAAGAAAAAGTTTTTTCTGACTTCTAATGTAACATTATTAAATGACTACAGTAATGTAAATTACTATTTTTTTGTTTCAATGCCTCTTTGTTTGATTTTTGATTTTATTTAATGGTGGTCAGTGGAAAGAAACATTACTCTTTATAGTTTCAGAAAGCGTCATAATGCATAAGCACTTTGAAAAGGTGAATACCCAGCTTGATTATAGCATTGACTTTCTCATTCATCTGTGAAGATTAATCTACTGAAACTGCATAGAGAATACACTGAGATAAAGGTTTAAATGTTCTTTTTCATTGCTTTTGATTAAGCAGGCATCTATATTCCCATGATTTAAAGAAGGTGAAATATCATTGTATCTGCTTCTTTTTTAATTTAAGAGCATAAAAATACCTTCTGAGTGTATTACAGCTCTCTTGCTGCTCTTTTCAATCCTGCATGTGTGTTTTGCAGTATTTGTAGTGTAAGTGCCTTACGTGTACTCTTTGTTTTTTCCAGGCAGTATAACTCCAACAGTAGAACTGAATGGTCTGGCTATGAAAAGAGGAGAGCCTGCCATCTACAGGCCGTTAGATCCAAAGCCAATCCCCAATTATAGAGCAAATTATAATTTTCGGGGCATGTACAATCAGAGGTTTGTACTTATTTCTATTATTTCATGCTTCCTTATTCTGTGCTAAATCTTTATAAACTTAATAGATTGTTTCAGAGTAAAATAAAACTAAGATTTTACTAAGGGAAGTCTGTGCAGCCTCATTTTAAAACATACACAACCTCCTTCTTAAAGAAGACAGGTGCCTCAAGCATGTCAAAAGGAATAAAGACATGTAAAACAACTGTTTCTACTTTTCAGTGTGTAAACTGGAGTTATGGTCTCCAGACATAGCAGTAAAGAGGCAGAATACTATCCTCAGAGAGAGGTTTTCCTTTCTTTGCTGATATTTTGTGTCATTTGATTAGAATCTGTAACACTGAACATGAAGCGCTCTTTTCTTAGAAGTACTTTATAAAATTAGAAGGGCTGTGTTTTGAAAATGGGCTTGAAACCACTGTCAAGTTTCCATATTTTTACCATTCTGTGATGTTAGCTATCTCAGTTCCTTAATCTTCAGTGTTGACACATGAAAAATCCTTTACTTCACAGTTTAGAAACCTACATTAAGAGCCCTCCATTAATACTGTAATTACTTTAGTAACTTGGAGTAATCTTTGAAAAGACAATATTCTGTCTAAATTTGTTTTTAAACAGTCAAATTCTTAAAGAATTAAAAAAATTGAAAATTTAATTGGGAGGAGTAGTTTTCTAAATGATCATTGAAATATCTTCTTGAAAAATGTTCTAAATTTTTGAAATATCTTTGAAAAAAAAAGATTTTTGAAAAATCTTTGGGATTTGTATGATTTTAGTACAGATGGAAAACCTGTTCTAATTCATCCTGAATAAAATGTAATTTGTATCTAATGCAATAATACAGGAGTAACTTAAGGCAATATATGTATTTTTTGGAGTCCCAAGGGCTAGTTCTCTGAAATAGATTTTAGTTCCTGCGTGCCTCCCCTCCTCCACTTCCCCCTCCCCCTCCCCCCCCCAAGGAACTATATTTGATCAGCTCTTTTGTATTTTAACCAAAAATAAAAAATAAAAACAAACAAACAAAAAAATTATGAGGAATTTCCAACGGAATATTTTTGCAGTGAAAGGTTTTGCCTTTCTTGTAGAGGGTGTGCTCAATGGAGTCCCTAATAATTTTTATATACCTCATAACTGTAAAAAAGAATGAGTCTGTGATTGCTGGATAAGTGTTTTTGCTCAAAATTACTCTTTTGTTAGAAGTTGAATTTATAGAAATATTTAAAAATTAGGGAGTTTGAAGTGAAAATACAAAATGAAAAGACAGCATTTCATAATAGTCTAAGGAAAATTCAGTTGGCTTCTTATTTTTCTTTTTCCCTAGATTTTTAAATTGTGGTAACTTTTGTATTCTAGCATTTCATTCTGACTTTTTAATAGGAACGATACCTGAATTGTAAATGATAAACAAATGATAAACTTTCATTACTCTACAGATTGTCTGATTATTTTATTACTTGTTGTATTTCTTGTTGCTACTGACTAGAGCTGCGACTCATATATGTCAGGTTTAAATAGCTGGCTGTGGTGCCTAAAATGAGTTTGGTTGATATTTAGGAATCTTGCATTTATTTTAATTGCTTTTACAATGATATTAGTTTGACTAACAGATAAAAAGGCTAGACTGGAAAAAATGCAGGTTAGCAAAAAACAAAACGTGGACTTCTAGAATCTGATCTTAGTTACTGAAACAAACTCATGGAAACAGAACCTCCAAACACTTAGCAGTTCCTAACTCTTAAGATTTTTTTTTTCTTTAAATGAAAAAGAATAGCACATCTACTGCAATCATTGTTTGCTTCTTTCTTGAACTTTGTTCCTATGTTAGGGTGCAATGGTACATGGACACTACTATTCTAGGTGCATTAGGTGGCTAGCAAGGGTATTTGTTTTCTGATCACAAAACAGGTAGGGTGGGACAAGAAGCCTAAATCTCTGCTTGTCTGCCCCATTGTACTTAGTTGAATACAGCAGCCTCTGCAGAACGATTAATAATACAGAGGATCCAAAATTAATGAATAACTAAAACTAATTGATAAATAACTGTCTGTTTGCATGTGCATGCACACCCTGTACATCTGCCTACCTGTGCACACAGTCATACCAGATGAAAGACAAGTGTTGCCATCCTGTAATGTCTAGGGACTTGTCCTATGTTGGAAATAATTGTTCATCACCTTGTTTTGCATCAGGAGGTGCTGGTTTGTTATGATCCCAGTAAGAAAGGCACTTACAAGGTATCATTTCTTAGAGCACATGCTGTAAGAAGAGAGTAGCACAGATAATCCTATGTTCCTTTAGATGCTGGGAGCCCCTAGTAGTGTGGCAAGAAACAGGTCTCCATCCCACGTGCAACACGTCATGCAGACCTTATCCTCCCCTTTTTGGTCAGTCAAGCTTTTATAGGATTTTCTTAGACGGAAACAACTCTGTTATTTCTACAGTCAAAACAAAAACATTGTTCTCATGAGAACTTCCTGCTGCACTGGTAGATAAAGGCAAGGCCGCAGAGATGTCGAGGGAGAGCTTCTTGCAGCGAGGTAGCTGGGCTGACCCTGCAGCCAAGCATGGCTTTGAAAGCTGCTTGGGTTCACTGCGTCATGCATCACAGACACCTCAATGCACAGGGTTCTTTCTGTTGGGATCGCTGCCCGCCTTGACCAGGGAGAGGTTTGAAGGCCGTTCTAGATCTGTAACAATAATCAGTGAAGCACAGAAACTGTATTTTGTTCCCATAGGGTGGTATTTACATTTATTACATTTTAAACAACTTGCTGCCACTGTGTATTTGGCATTTGTTTGATGATTTTTAGAATAGAAGTGTTGGACTTCCTGAGTAAATGGAGACCACGTAGGCTGTTTACAAACAAGATTTGAAGAATAATTTAGGTAAGATGCTACAATCAGTGCTCTTCCTTATCATTAGTCTCTGACTCTAGATTGAGGAAGCAGCTGTGTTATTAAAACAGATACTAAATATGTAGAAAGCTGGAAGCCATTTTGGTCTTTTAACTAAGTTTCTTGCTGATCTCTGTTTAAAAAAATGTACTTTTCAAATACTTTAAAATACAGATTAAGATTATGAGATTGTACCAGGGGACTCTGATTCTAGCAATTACTTGAGGGGGGAAAAGTAAAGTACTGAGTACTTTTATGCCCAGGCAGGGCATATCTTTAGACCAGTTAAGTCTAGCATTTCAAGTTGCACAAAAGATCCTCTTCAGTAACTCATGGAATTGTAGTCTAAGAGCTGCTATTTGCATGCAAATTTGAGAGCTAGCTTCCACATCAGTTTAAAATGATTTATGCTGAGGTGGCCTTGATTCCTCCTCCTCCGTTGTGCCCAGCCCATGTTTCCCTGCAATTTTTCCAGCTCCAGCACTGGTAGATGAGCTGCTCAGAAATTAATCAACTGGGGGGCAAGAGGAATGGAGAAGTTACAGCGTGACTAATGTCTCTCCTTAAACATCTGCTCACCTAGTCACACAAAACCTTGTGCTGTCACCAGGGAGGGGTCAGGAGAACTACACTTGCACATGGAGTAGAAAATATGTATAATATGTATATGGGCAGCAGGTGTGTTAGCACAGAGGATTACACACAAAATGCAGCAATGCAATTGTAAGGTCCACAGCATAAGTTAATGGTGAAGGTGACTTTTATGGGGGGGGAAAAAAAAGGGAGGGGGAAACAAGTGAGAGGAAGAAAAAGGAAATAGAGAAACTTTTCCCACTGGCCAGCTTGAAAGGGAAGTGACAGAGCATCCTCTATGAGTATCCTCTGCTTTTCCTGTAGTTATTCTGTGGTTTTCACATGGACCTGCTTATACTCCCTGTTGTTTGTTCCAGTTTATGACAGTGTTCATGCTGCATCAGGGCAGGTGTTGAATGTTGACTGCTTATTGAGGTTTGTACATGCATGTTGCTGGGCTCAGCAATGTATACCAAAAGTTACTGCCAAGGGGAGAGGACAGAGGGGAGAAGGACTATGGTATGGTACAGATTCAGCTGTCAAATTGAGTATCAACATTATCAGCATTTCTAGGTGCGAGGCCTTGAGAATAGAAGCACGGAGAGAATAGCAAGGGAAAAATCCAGCTAGCCAAACTGGAAAATGCTGTCCAGGCAGTGCAGGTAGAAAGTTACAGAGCTGCAAGTGGCAGGCAGGCTCCATCACTGCACATACAAACCTCTCAGCATGGCGCAGGGTAAGGCCTTTAAGGCTGTGTGTAACACCAGGGCAGCCCTGGGTAAGTCTCTCCCTATGCTAAATAAGGAATCTGCTCCCCTCTTAGCAGTACCTAAACAGTTAAAATACTGTCCTGCTTGGAGTGGATGAGGCAAGGATGTACTAGCATGGCTTTTCACTCAAGCTAGTGAATGTGGTACTCACTAGGTTAACATCACTGGGCTGTTATTACATTGCATCTCCACCCAAGCTGATGAAATCTGTATGGTCTGTGCTGAATCATGTGGATTTATCAGCTTAGGTCTCTGGTAGGCTGGATATCTGTATACTGCAGTTTGTTTCACAGTATAGATAAGACCTTTAAAGTTTTTTCATATCTGATGAGACAGCTTGGGAGTCCTCTCCAGATTATCTTTATTCCAGTAGAGTCTATACAAGTTCGGTACTAGGAAGCTTGATGGCCTCTGACAGCTTTCTTTTTGAACGCTTGCCTTATCAACCTTGAATCCAGCCATGTTAGACAACTTTGTAGTTAATAAAGGGTTCAACTACTGAATTATAGTTAAAATTAAAAAAAAAAAAAAAAAGACTTTTCTGCACTCATAATTAACCAGGTATATGCTTTCTTTTAAAGCCTCACAAGTTGGAGTTATGAGCAATTCTCCAATAAAGGCATGTGAGGAACTTTTAGTTCAGGTGGTATACATTGCAGAAAAGCTAACGTGGTGAACATTGCATTTGTATGGCTTCTTTTATCTGAAAACTTCATAAACTGACTCTAGGGAAGTAAGTGCTAGTGGTTTCAGGGACTGTTT